ACCTGACTAAGCCTATGCCCTTGTGGAGTGCACTATCAGTGCGGGGGCAGCTGTCTTTGCCAGATCATAGCATATCTGGATATGTAATGTAATCCATGATGAAATTCTTTGAGAAGAGACTGCAAGCCCTTTCATTCTGTCTGCTACTGCAATGAATGTTTGGGTAGATTTCTGAAACAGCTTTGTCTGTTTGATAGAGAAGGCTAATAATGCCCACTGAACATCCAAAGTGTGAAGATTTTATTCTTGGGTATTTGCATGTGGGTTTGAGGAAAGATTGTAAGGAAAAACATCCTGATTGTTTTGAAACTGGGAGACAATCTTCAGGAGAAAGGCTGAGGTGCTGAAGACGGTTGTGGTCCTGAGTTATAAGGTCTGGGAGCAGTGGTAGAGTGCTCTGAGTTTCCATTAACAGCTCCAGAAGAGATGTGTACCAGTGCCAGGGCCAGGCTGCAGCTATCAATACTACTGAGGCTTTGTCCCTCTGAACCATGAGTGGCATCTTTCGGACAAGTGGATTAGGTGGAAATGTGTAAAGGAGGTGGTCCTTCCAGAGAAGAAGGAATTCATCTGCGATCAAGCTTGGACTGTGATTCAGGAAGAAGCAGAACTGCAGACACAGCCTGTGTCTTGTCATGAACAGGTCTGTCTGGGGAATTCCACATGTCAGAAGATGGTGTTTATGTTTTCTGGGCAAATGGCTGTGAAAGGACCTGCTGAGATGGTCTGCCAACTCACTTTGAACTCAGGAGAGGTAAGATGACTCCAAATGTATTAAGTTGGCTATGCAGAAATCCCACAATTTGAGGGCTTCCTGGCAGGGGAGGGAATACATACATCAGGCTCCCTGACCACAACAGGAGAAAGGTGTCAGAGAGAATCCTGGCTCAGACCTTGCTTGGAGCAAAATCAATGGCACTTTCTGTTTTGCCTGATAGCAAACAGATCTAGGGAGTACCCCACCTCTGGAAGACCCCGCAGGCCAATCAGACTGCTTTCTCTCTTTTTTGTTGTTTATATGTAACATCATCTCCTCCGAGATCACATCCCTAGGGTCTGGAAACATTCAAGATGTGCACTGCATCTCAGGCCCAAGGTGTCTGAAACCAGCTCAATGGAGGGAGGAATGGTTTTGAATGGAACTCCTTTCAGGACTTTCTTAATACCAGTCCACTATTGCAGCAAAGTAAATACTGCCAGGGAGAATGGTAACTTTTTTTTCCCAGGTAATCCCTGTACTGGGAATAGGTTGACACCACACAGTGCTGCAGGGGTCACATGTGGAACCTGGCATTGCAGATCATTTATATGCACACTGCCATATGGCCTAGCAGGCATAGCTACACCCCGGTGGTCATCAGGAGAAATGCAGATACTGCCACAATGAACTCTGTCTAGAGGCAGGAACGCCCTTGCACAGGTCAAGTCAAGCACTGCTCTGATGAATTCTGTCCTTTGCACTATAACCAATGTAGATTTTTTGTCACTGATCAGTGGTCCCAGGGACTAGCAGGTTGCTTGCACAACAGTGATGTTCCACAGGCCCTGGCCCTTGGATCTACCTTTGACCAACCAGTCATAAAGGTAAGGGTAGATCTGGATACCCCAGTGCCTGAGGCAAGCTGCCACCACTGCTATGCACTTGGTAAACACTCTCAGTGCTCTAGTCAGGCCAAACGGGAGGACTGCAACTGGTAATGGAGCTCACCATAAAACAGAGGAAGCATCTGCGACCTGAGAAAATTGGTAGGTGAAAGTACATGTCCCTCAGGTGAGGGAAGCATACCAGTCTCCTGGTTCCAGGGAGGGAATAATGGAGGGCAAGCAGGGAGACTATGAATAACTTTAGCTTCTTCAGGTAGCTGTTGAGGTCTCGCAAGTCCAGAATGGGACAGACCACCCTGAACCTTTGTGATTAAAAAAAATATCAGGAATAGAGACACATATTCCTGTATGCAAGTGGAATCTCCTCCACTGCACCCAGCTGCAGCAGCCCCTGATAACTCCTGCATGAACAGACTCTCATGAGAAGGGTCCCTGAAGAGGTACAGGGAGGAACGTGAGAGGTGGAGTAGCGAGAAATTGGAGGGTGAAGCCCTGCAACAGTGCTGAGAACTCTACAGTTCATGCGGGGAGGAAAAGGAAAGGTGATTAGAAAAAAAAAATGGGGAAATTGGATCCGGAGAACAGTCTGGTAGGTCACCCTTGAGCATACTCCCAAAATGAGTTTTTGGTTCCTTGGGTGGAGCAGGTGAAGGGTGGCTCAGGCAGCATCTATAACCCTTGGCCTTTTGGGCAGCAGGTCCTGCTGGGACTGGCTCCCTTGACCCAGAGCTGGTTGTGGTTTGAATTACGTATGTTCTCGGCCTAGAACATAGAGCCCCAGGATTATCAGGGTGGTGCAGGAGTTCTTCAGCCCATGCCATTTGCTGTCTGTCTGTTCCACAAACAGGGCCTGGCCATTGAAGAGGAGGTCTTGTATTAACTGATGAGCCTCTGATGCCCACCTGGAGAGGAACAGCTAGAAAGTCTGCCACATGGAAATGGCAGATGCCATGGTACGGGCAGTGGAATCTGCCATATCAGATGCTGCTTGAAAGGCTGCCATGGCCACAGCCTCATCAAGGATTGCTCAGAATTCTTTATGGGAACCTGCTGGGAGGGAACTCTCAAACTTGGCTACAGTTTACCACATATTAAAGTCGTAGTGGCCAAGGACAGCCCAGCAGTCAGCCACTCTCAACTGTAGGGTAGAAGAATAAATTTTGCATCCAAATAGGTCCTGCCTCCTGCAGTCTTTACTTTTGCAAGTAGTGCTGGTTGCCCCTGCTGCTCTCTGTGGTTAACCATCTCAACTATGGAATTAGGGGCCACGTGAGAGTACAAGTATTCATGCTCCTTAGTTGGGACAAAGTAGTTATGATCTGCCCTTTTGGAGATGGAGGGCAAGGAGGATGGGGTTTGCCACAGAGTGGTGATGATCTTCAATACATCTTCACGAAGGGGCAATGCTACCCTGGGAGGAATCACAGAGGAGAGAATGTCAAACAAGAAGTCCTCCAACTCCTCCTCCTGCACGCTGAGGTTGAAAGTGATCGTCTTTAACAATTCCTAGTGCTCTTTAGCAGCATCCTGGGGAAGAGGGCAAGGAGGCACCATGATGGTCTCATCTGGCAATGACAAGGAAGATGCTGGTACCACAGGTTCCATGGCTTCCACTGGTGGTCCAGTAGGCTGCTCCCCTTGGTCCACTTGGACTTGGGAGGGGGTCTTTTCCCCTGTAGCCTTGAGCATCAGAGAAGGTTGGGATGTTGATGTCACTGGTCTAGCCGAGGCTCCTGCCAGAGAGCGGGCAGGCTGGGAGAACTCGCAAGGGTACCATAGCACCAGCCACAGTGCCTGGGACAGGTTTCAGTGCTGATGGTGTAGATGGTGCTGAAGGTCTGAGAGCTATAGCTGGATCAATTGCTACCCAGCTCAGCTTTCTACTGGTGTGAAAGCTCTGTGCTGTGGCATCCTTAGTCATGCCTGTCTGATGCTTAGAGGTTAGCAGATCTGTATCAGAAGTCCAGTGATCTACACCTCGAGTTTCATGATCAGTACAGGACAAGGAGTAGGATCTGGAGGTGTTGTGGGCCGGTTCCTGGGGGAAGGGATCCTCCCAAATATGGTGACACACTTCTTGGACACCATTGGTAAGGCCAGCAGCTCGTCTCCCGATCAATGCTGGGATCTGTACCAAACTCCTGGCAACACGTAGGGGAGCATGTGCCTCAGTAGGTCTGCGCCAGGTTACAGGTATTGTCTCAGCTAATATATGGCACATAGACACTGTCATGCCCAAAAAGAATATTCTCCATAGCCTGGAACTTGCCTCCAATAATGACTAATATTGCAAGTTTCAAGGGAAGAGCATTAACCCTCTTCCATTCTCATCCCAATTCCCAAATGTTCTTAAACTTATACTATACTGTTGAGGTGGCATCATGCTCCAGATACGAGAATCTGTGCTTCATGACATCATCTGCTGCCATGTCAATTTCAGCATTGGAAGATCACAGAATGGTGAAGGAAAAGCTGGGACTCTGAAGCCAATAAATCTTTAAATAAATACAGATAATTATGAAGTAAAAGGCTCAAAGAAAATCAGCTGTATTTGAAAAGTTCAGAATTAAATATCTGAAGTTCTTTTAAGGCACCACAACATTCACTCATCATAAATGTATTAGTCGATGGGCAGCCAAAAACTCACTAAAAATTCTTAAACACATATACCAGGATATACAAAAAGGTTTTCTTTGCAAAAAACAGGACTAGAAAACATACTTAATATATGACAAAGAATCATCTGATCTTTTTCAGTTATGCGACTCGTGTTTTGGAAATAGCATGTTAACCATTATTCACTTTATTACTGGTTCCAGGAAAAAAAAACACATTTAAATAAAATACTCCATAAAGAATAATCTGGTTTACATTTTATCTGTAAAGCTTCATCAGAATAGCCAACATACCTTCCCTGACACTGCATACATCACAGTTAAATGATCTAGACCTACCCTGCCGTCAGAGTAATACAGCATGATAGGCTTCATATATACATCTGGTATTTAGGGTTTTTTATATACAACAAAATAATGCTTTGACTAGTGTTCTGTCACACTTAAAGCAAATGAAAAGCTATGAGATTCATATACATGCAATAGGAATATTAGCTGGTTAACAACTAGAAATGGGTACGTTACATGTTTCAAGAGAAAAAACAAAATCTAGCGCCAATCTTATCATTAGTCATTGTGCAGAACAAGGACACTGCAATCCAAACAGACTGTTAGCACAGTGATCTCTTTTGACAAGACACAACTTCTGAGTGAGAAGGAACTAGAAAAAAAAATCACAACGAGACAACTATTAATCCCAGTAACTTTATGAAAACATACTGTCACATATATGAACTATTTCCTTTATAAAGCTCAAATTGAAACCAAAAGTTCATTTAATACTGTGTCAATTATACCCTTTAATTTCCATTTACATCAAATACAAATCAGAAAAAAACTGCCCCAAAACACTGATTTTCACATCACAAAACAGTTGTCAAAAATCTACCATTTGTAAAACATTTTTCAAGTGCTGCAGTTAACATTTTGGTTCTTCAGACAACAGTCACGAGTACTTTGCTAAAAATACAGATGTGTTTCCTACAGGTAATGTGAAGCTTTACTTAAGATGGCAAAGGCTTTGTAACAGTGTAGGGGTGCAAGTTTTCAGTATGAAGACATTCAGAAGATTTGCTGCTCAAAGAGTATTTTTTCAAACCCTGCTGGAGGAGTGTGATAAAATTCACTGAACTGACAATCCAAGATGGCACTGTCATCAACTATAGGACATAAGCAAAGAGAAAAACAATTAGAGCAGTATTTATTTTGACTATACATTACACCTTATTAGATTATATACATCAATACATTACATATCCACAACAATTGAAGCACAAAAGATATTCTCCAATATGTTATAAACATCCATGCAATAAAGATAAATAAGATCTCCAGGGTTAATCTGTAGAAAAGATCCTAAAATAAAATCAAGCAAGCCAAACTATATTTATTTCCTACAGAATACTTCAATTTTCAAAAGATTTTGCCAAAAGCAGTGAAAGTTTTGTTATTCATTTTACTGAAAGAGCTAATTAGCTTTAAAGCAATTCTTAACTTCTTTGGCCCTCGTTTTCCACTCCACTGCTTTGGAACCCTGAAGATCAAGCACGGTAGTGTTGAGATATGAAAGAGGATGCATCTCCATGGCATGCTCCCATTCCCCTGCTTGATATCAAGCCATCCGCCTAAGGTTATGACATCAGAACCCTGCTTGACTGTTATTTTTAGACACGTGGGTTTTAAAAATAATTCAGTATTTTTCATAACAATAATATTGCCATGCGACTTTCTGCCTAATTCTAGATGGAGGATTAGAGGATTCAAATGGAAATTCTGACATCACTGACGGCAGCAACACTGAAAATGCTGCTTTAGTGAAGCATAATACTGCAGCACTGCTCTTCAGAAAATCAGATCCATTTGATTAATGAGTCTTTCAAAGAAACATTCCTCTAAGCCACCCCCGCATGTGACAGAAGTATATCAATGCTAACACCTGGCTCCCCACTTCTCCCCCTCAAAAAAACCCAAATGCAATATTTTGATCAAGGATTTAGATATCCTGAAGTCAAGATATTTGTTTTTTTTGCACAGCAGCCTGAACTGAGCTAACAAGAGCACAAATACTAGCTTATGTTGTAGTACACTTTAATTGTGCTTGGGATCCAGCTGCTGAATTTAACTTGTGCTTTAAGTTCCCAAACATGACATCATTTACTTTCTGTAGACACCGATAAATTAAATGGTTGAGAGTAAAATCTCCTTTCATATACTCATGAATAAGTAGCTTTAAATTAAGGGGTTTATTACTTGCAACTTATAGCACCAATGTGTCACCTGAATGCAATTTTCAAATCATCAGGTGTTACAGAAATAAACTAATCCATTGTGAAACACAGAAATTCTTGGGAATTTATGTCAGTTCTAGAAGGATGATGACAGGAGAGGGAGTCTGGCAATAAAAAGTCACCTCACACCCACAACCTAAAACCTCAGTGGTGCAGGGTTAGACATGGAGAAAGGAACAAGATTAAAAAAATAAAAAAAAGACCAGAAGCCGAAGTCCCTGCTGCAGAACACAAGCTGTTTATGAAAGCTACCGACTCCTGAGACCTAAATTTTCTCCACTGTAACTCCTCTTCTAAAGTAAAGGGAAGATGAGATGTTAGCTATTAACAAAAGTCTGTTTTCCCACTCTTACCAATATGGTATACAGCAGCCAGAATCTCAATAATGCAATGTTCATAGGAATAAAACTGTGGCAAGTATTTTATTCCTCTGTTTGCAACTATTTGTAATAATGCCACCATATGGTAAATGTAAAACAAGATGACAATATGAAATAATCTTCATTGTAACAGTTTTAAAGGAGATAAATTGGCAACTGAATTTGTAACATTCCAAGCTTCCAAAGCAAATTTAGATTGTTTCCTGTTCAGAAAGCACAACATTAAGAAAGTGTCTAGACAGACACAGAAATGTGCCAACAGTTCATTATGAAATATGAAATGAAATAATAAGCAGGCAAATACTTGGTACTATGGTTCCGTGGTATCTCACAAGTTAAGCAAGTTTGGGACAGATCAGTACTTGGATGAGAGATTTACAAAATATATTAAGTAGTAAAGGTGGGGTTCTGAGTGGTACTCTTCCCTCTCAGTATGGAACCAGTCCCTCAGCAGGGTGGGATAAAGCACTGTGCAAGCAGAGGTGCAGTGGTTCAGATGAGACAATCAGAATTCCTGCATATCTGGGAGCTGCAAAGAGTACTTTGGCATTTTAGTAAGGTAGAGTGTTAACACACATTATGGCCAAATTCCAGTTCACAGAATGAATACATTTTTCCTTAAGCTTCTTAAGCAGATTGCATATGATATTTGTTTCCTGTTCAAAACTGTTCTGGTAATGTATCCTGTCAATGTAGCTGCTATGATTCACTGTAGAGAGGGATGCAGAGGTGAACTGATTTCTATATAACATTTGGTATCAATTTATTACAGCTGTGAAGTATTTTGAGATGGAAGATGTTACCACATTAAAGTTTATATTTCTATAAAAATGAAAAAGTATAAAATGTACATGCAAATCTGACTTAATTCAAATGCTACTGCATTAGTATTGCATAAGCAAGAAGGGGTATACAGGCAGTCCCCGGGTTACATACAAGATAGGGACTGTAGGTTTCTTCTTAAGTTGAATCTGTATGTAAGTCGGAACTGGCGTCCAGATTCAGCCGCTGCTGAAACTGACCGCCAGTT